CCCTAGTAGCCATTCAAACAGTGATAAAACTAAGTATATGTCTTTACGTAACAACGATGCTACTAACTGCCAATTTAAGTAAATGGGGCACAAAAGACAACACTATTTGTAGAAATCGAAGGAATTTTTAAAGTTAAAACAAAACAAAACAAAAACTTAAGGGAAATGAGAGAGAAACTCAAAAGCTTCCATACTCCAGATGAGCCCAAATAGCAAGAAATGGAAAAATATAGTTAGGATCCACAAAACTGGACATATCTCTGGTGAGATTCTAAATTAGAAGCTGCACCCAAGGTGAAAGAAAAAATAACCAAAACACTAAGAGAAAGAGTTCTTTATAGCGCTGGGGTCTGAGTTTGGGGCCAGAACTAACACACACTTTTATAGACTTCAACTGAGAACTGCAGTGAAACAGACAAGCGCAGGGCAACCCCCAAACCTGGGTTCCCCAGCCATGTTCCTCTCAGGGCTTTTCCTAGTAAATTTCCATTGTCATCAAAGATGGGGGCTGATGAATAGGATAGAAAGTATTCTCCAAAGCCCTCACCCAAAGAATCCACAATCTTCCCAATGATTCTTCTCCTTACCTGTGCTTTACTCATCTTGTTCATTGCAGTACCAAACTCAAAGTTGGCCTTTTTAACTTCAATTACTTCACTAAATGTCTGCCATATTCTGGATCTGTAATACTGACCTGAAAACTTTTTATTTAATTATTAATAGACCTTTTTTTAAAATCAAATTTAAGATTTGCAGAAGGATTGAGCAAATACTACAAAGAGCTCCCATATATATCCACCCCTACCTACTCCTACCCCTGCATATTCACTTTCCCCAATAAACTTATATTAGTAGGGTTCACTTGCTGCAATTAATGAACCAAGACTGACCACATTATTATTAACTGAAGTTCACAGTTCATCCATATTTCCTTAGTTTTTATCTAATGTCCTTTTTATTTTGTTCCAGGATCATATCCAGGATACCGCAGCATTATGTTTAGTTATCATGCCTCCTTGAACTCCTCCTGGCTGTGACAGTTCATCAGACTTTCCATGTTTTTAAGAACCTTGAAAGTTTTGAGGTGTATTAGGTATTTTAGAGAATGTCTTTCAGTGTGGATTTGCCGAAAGTTTTTCTCATGGTTAAAAAGGGAGTTATAAACATTTGGAAGGAAGACCACAAAAGTAAAGTTCCATTTTCATCACATCATCCAAGGATATATACTATCAACATGGTTTATCACTGAAGGTGTTAACTTTGATCACCTTCCTGAGGTAGTGCTTGTCATGTTTCTACAATGTAAAGTAGTACCTTCCCCCTCCTCTTTCCATATTCAATACTTTGGAGTAAGTCACTATGCACAGCCGCAATTAAGGACTAGGAAGTTATGCTCCCCAAAACTGTTTCATTTACCTTTTTAAACATAAACTACTCCAAAGCATATAACGTACAAATGTTATACTACTTTTACCGATGAAAAAAATGAGACTTAGAGAACTTGTGTAAGATTACAAAGCTAAAAAATGTTAAGGTTAGGAAATAAACCAAAGCTATCTGAATCCTAGCTTAGTGCTCTTTTCACTGTGATATACTCAATCTCAAGGTCACAAATTATATATTAACAAGTAAGCTTCAAACTCCACATTATTTAACCACCAGTCTTTTTTCAGGCACTTTTATTTCATTCATCTGCTTCCTATTTCTTTGGCAGTGATTACCCTTTCTTATTAACCCAACCAACTTCCATTCCTAGACCAAAGCTATGCTATTTTTCTGCTCTCCCTGTCCTAGAAAAACAAAACTGGTTTTTAAACTGATTCCAAGAAACATCTTTCCACTTCTTTAAACCTACCGTATAGAAACTACCTGAACTACCTTCCCCAGTAACTTGGTGTAATTAATGAAAAAAGTACCAGACACTAGTTTTATTTTTTACAAAAAGAAAATGAAAGAGCAAAGAGCTTAGACCCTGTAGTCACAAAGTTCTGAGATCAAATTTTAATTCCATCACCACCATTTTGACCTTGGAAAAGTCTCTTAACCTTCTTAAACCTCATTATCCTTATCTGAAATCCTAGAAACTAAGCTTAAAGCATTCTGTGTATAAAAGAGGTATCTATGCATTTTTCCATACAACATCTGCAATATGAACTCTGTGATTTACAGAATGGTCTACATAATTTAAAAACAGAAGCCTAAAGATGAACTTCCAAAGTTCAAATTATCTTCTACCTTTGATAACAGAATCGTAGGGGAACTAGTTAAATGAAGAATAGTAATTACTGTGAATTGTGCACGGCTTTGAAAAAACTACAAGTTTTCCTGAAAATAGGATGTTTTTTGTATAATTCCTCTTTCAGAGAAATATACGGAAGAAAATTTCCCAAAAAGTCAAGGCTCATCAAATTCCTATACACACCAATACAGCTAATAAAGGACTTGCTGAAAATACCTGTCAGAAGCCTAACTCCCATTCTTCCAGAATCAGTGACAGTTCTTCATAAAGTAAAGCAGCCCAGCGATCCAAAGGCAATTAATTTATTGTAGCACTCCAGACAAAAGCAAGAGAGAACTAGAGAGGAAATTTCAACTGGAAAATATTTTGATATGATTGACTCAGATGACAAGTTAAATTTAAGAACATGTCAAGTGCTGCAATCTGCACAAAAACATACACATATGCCAGAGGATATTAAGAAACCATACCAGCCAAGTGAAGTCTCAACACTGAGCAGAGTAGGTATCTTTTAATCTGTTTAGAAAAGAGGCACAAGGGAAGCTAGCTAAAGGTTCTTTCATAAGCTTATAGAGAAAAAAAATGTTTAAAATCGTCAATTAAAATTTATCTTGGGGATTGAAGGTGATTACCATCATGAAAAGTGTTAGGGACTTTTCCTTTCAATACAAAAAATACTTTTGTCTCCCAACTAGCTAGAAAATTCCAGCATATACCTCCTTTTTTCTGATCACTTATTTCAAAAAGCTCAAATTAAATTATAACACTTAAATCCCTCAGAAAACAAACATGTATGTTGGAACCAAAAAGCAACTTTTTTCCACACAGAGAGTTAAAACTAGAAAGACTAGAAAATGAATTTCCAACTACTTTTATTTTATTCCCTCACATATAATCCGTATTGTGTAATCCTTTAACTCTCCTCAACAACATTAATCAAAACAAAATGAAAGAACCAATGAAAATGCTGGTGAAAGCAAATTATTTTTTCATGTTCCCAACTTTTTATTTTGTAAATTTTTAAACATATAGAAAAGTTGAAAAATAGTGAAATGAATACCCATATGTTCATTAAGTATATCCTCCACCCAGACTCAGAAATTGAATAATATTGTCAAACTACACTAAATTCTTTACTGAGTAAAAATCCACATTGCATAAAAATTAGTAAGTAGGATATGTAATAATCTCTAAGTGAGTTATGAACTCAATTGATTAAGATAATTTGTTAACATCACTTATCCTTTCTGTGTGTAACCTTAAAGAATTAAAAGCTTGACGAAAAAGCTAAAATAAGTTAGTTAACACATGGCTGGTTATTTTACATGAACAGTGTCTAAGATAAACCATTCAAAGAACCATTTATCATTTTCTCAAAGTGAAAAAAGGCTAAATGTGAAATTGTCTGATGTTATATATGAAAGGTTTTATAGTAAAAAAAAAAGGAATAAACACACTTCTTAAGTAATCCTAGGATAGTTCACAAAGCAGTCTTGGTAGCAGCTGGAACTGTTACTTTGGATCACAAAAAGGGTGAGATAGTAGTTTATAAGAAAACAAGTGTGCTCTTCCTCGATATTCAAATTTAAATAGCTATGAGCTAGGTCCTCCTCAAATAAGTTTTAGATTCTCAGTACACAGGAAAAATTCTACTATTACAAATATACAATTGTATAATATACAAGGTAGGGAGAGAAAATGAAGATGATAGTAAAAACAGCATGCAATGCTAATAAAACAGCCATGCCCACCACCATGTGATACGACAGGGAACAAAGGGAAATCAAGTTGTCCTTGGAAATTTCAAAATTGCTCATTACTCCAAAATTTAAAACTGAAACCTTTAAAACTTTAATTGTGATTCACCATAACAGATCATGGCAGAAACGGTCCTCTCCCCATATCCTTCCTCTCCAATATCTTCCAGAAGAAAAGATAACCAAAAATGTTAAAGAATAAACAGCTAAAGAACATCTACGTGTCTTTCCATATAAATTTTAAGTAAAGCCAAAAACTGACAAACTACTCCGAAATAAGTTTTATGCTTTCAAACTGCCAATCATTCTGGTGTTCTAAGACAGAAAACTCATTTTGTTATGCAAAAAAAAAGCCCTAGTAATATAAAACAGATTATCATAAGCCTTTTCTGAAATGAATTAATACTTGTTTGGTACATATTTCTGTGATACAGTCCATAGAAATGGATTTAAGGTTTTATATGTGTATATTTAGTAACTGAATATATAATAAAGCTACATAAAAATTAATAAGAAAGTTAATATCTGGTACTAAAATAAATGTAAAACTACATTTGAAGCAAGATTATCCATCCCAAGTAATGGAAGGCAGGGTAATAAATAAAATGTGTGTGTGTGTGTGTGTAGTTCAGAATAAAAATAATGCACATAAACATACTCTCTGACTGGCAAAGCAGTTTTAAAGAATTTAGAGTTTACTGTAAAAAGTATCTTATTTATTTGAAAATTCTACATATGTAAATACTGAATTCTCTATCATGTTTATAATTAAGTCTTGGTTACGCAAAAGTCTTTAGAACAATTAAAAAATTTAGAAACAGAAGATTGGTTCCTGTTACACATGGATATAAGAAATATTAAGAATCAAGAAACTATATAAAGCAGTCTTCTCATTGTCTACCATGATTTGCTGATCACATGCACTAACGTATTTCTTATCTCTCCTATCCCTATATTACATTGCTATCAACCTCAAATAAAAAAATAAAAATCAATCTCAACCATTCCTGAAGATTCCTTTATGTGTTCTCCTAAAGGTAGGTAGGAGTCAGAGGATGGGGCTGGGGAAGGCCAGGAGAGAGAGTAGTCACTAAAAATTTAACATCCTACCTTTACAGCTAGAAAATTCAGTCCACTCTCATTAGCCAAAGCCTTTGCTATCATTGTTTTAGAGCATCCAGGTGGCCCATACAGGAGAACTCCTTTAGGTGGCTGAATACCCATTCGGATGAAAGACTCTGGATGTTTCAAGGGCCATTCCACAGCCTGTTTCAATTTCAGTTTGATATTTTCCAGTCCTCCTATATCTGACCAGGATACCTGTAAAACAGGATGTGTAAGTTTTGCCAGAACAGAAAACTAAAAAAAAACCACAAAACATATTATCAACAAAAGAAGGACAAGAGGGAACACAACCATTTAGGAATCAAGAAGATCCTAAAAAAAAAAAAAAAAAAAAATCCAAGAATATCATGAAGTAAATTAGCAGTACATAAAACATGAGCTGCACATTGTAAAAATACTAAAGAAAAACAAAATATTTCTGCTTGCAAGTCTTGTATAAATAACTGTTTAAATGACTGAATATACCATTAAGTCTAAGCTTTAAAACTTAGGTTTCATCTGTCTGAAAATAGTTTGAGTCAATGATCCAAGGTCTCATCTATATATCTAACTTCTTATACTTCTTTTTTTAGCAAAATTACTTCCAAGCATATTTTTGTAGATCCCTGTGAAACATATAATCTTTCTTGTGTTTGGCATATAAATAAAGTATCCTTAAAATTTTGTTCCTTTTTCTTAACTAAGAAATACCCCCAAACAAGATAGCTCTTTATATATTATTTACTTATAAATGTCTTAGGCATGAACTGTGTAACAGATAACATACACAGAAAATAGAAGAATGACATGTGAATCCAGACTTTAAAGAAGATAACAACTAGTAACAAACAACAACATGCACATAAATAACCACAGTACAACGAAAAGGATAGTAAGTACAATAACAAAGAAACAGGGAAAGCCTTCGGGAGTTCCCAGGAAGAAAAGATTACTTCCAGCTGGAAGGCAAATCTGAAAGCAAACTCTTGAAGGATGGATGAGATCTGGAAATGTGAAAACAGGGAAATGGTCAGGTAGAGGCCAAAAAATGACAAAAGGCTCAGAAGGAAGGAAGTTTAAGGAGGATGTGAGAAAAAGATTTAAGGGAGGAAAATAAAGAAAAGTTGAAGCCATATAGATGAATTCTAGAAGTTGTTCAAGACACTCTTTGTATATAGTAAGAAGTCTGAAAGTTTTTAATCTAGCAAGTGATAGGGTCTTAGTTGCACTTCAGGAAGAACTCTCTGACAAGATTCATTAGAGAGGACACAGAGTACAAGGAAACAAATTAAGGACCAATCACAAAATATCCTCAAAAAAAAAAAAAAAAGGCCTTAACTAAGGCAACCACATGCAGATGACAAGGACGTACCAGAAAGACACTGCAGAGCTATAGCTGAGGGTTTTGAAGGTAGAATAATACAGAGGGAAAAGTCAAAGCTAAAGATTTCAAGAGAGACTGACAGAATATGGACCACAGAAGAGTATTTTTAGGAGGGAAAATAAGTAGATAAGACAGGGTTTTTTTTAAATATACAGAGTTGTAATATGGGACAGGATATTTAAAAGATCAAAAGTGAGCAGTTGGAATGTATGCAGCACAAATAGAGTTCTGGAAAGATAGTAAGACTGGAATTTTAGATTTCAGAGATATCCTCATACAAACAACAGGAAAAGCCATGAGAAGAGAGATGTGGATCAAAGGCAGATTGTTGGGCATTGCCTACATTTAATAAACAGGAGGTGAAAAAAAGGGGGGAAAGTCAGAAAACAGCCAATTTACAAATCCAAAGGAGACGAGAGGGGCTTTGTTTCTTAAAATGAGGAAAAGATTACTTTTTCCAAATGAACTTGCTTGGTTTTGGGGGAGGATTTTGTTGTTTTTGTTTTCTGCCCACAGATCCAGGACAATGCTATATTAATCAACCATAATCTTGAAAGCAGATTCAATTTTTTCTTTCTAAATAGTTTTCTTTTTTTCTTTTTTTTTTTTTTTTTGTCTTTTGTCTTTTTCCGTGTCCGGCAACGGATCACAACCCTCAGTGTTGCCCCCGTACCGGACCGGGAACCGGCAACGGGATTGCAACCCTCGGTGTTGCTCCCGCGCCTCGCTCAGCCAGTGAGCGGGAACCGGTCTGTATGTGGGATCCGAACCCTCGGGCGGGAGCGCCGCCGCGCTTCCCAAGCGGCGCACTATCCAGTGCTTTTGTTTTTTGTCTTTTTCCGTGTCCGGCAACGGATCACAACCCTCAGTGTTGCCCCCGTACCGGACCGGGAACCGGCAACGGGATTGCAACCCTCGGTGTTGCTCCCGCGCCTCGCTCAGCCAGTGAGCGGGAACCGGTCTGTATGTGGGATCCGAACCCTCGGGCGGGAGCGCCGCCGCGCTTCCCAAGTGGCGCACTATCCAGTGCGCCACCGGGCCGGCCCTAAAATTGTATCTCAGATGGAAACAGTAAACTATAAACACAAGACTCTCACTTTTTGATAAAGACTATGTTTACCATTTGATTATATATACCCTCTTTATCTTCCTAAGAGATTAGGATTAAAAGCTTTAAAAGAAAGAGTTTAAAAAGCTCAAAGAGGAAAGAATCAACAAAAAATTATTAATTTTTTTTTTAAAAAGATAAGCATAAAGACTAGCCAGGGAAAGGTACTGTTACAAATCCAAAGTATAAAAAGAAATGGATGATTCAAAGACAATTGCAAAGCCAATTAACTTATGGGGGAAAAATGCTCAACTCCCTAGTAATCAAAGCCAAAACACAAATTAAAATAATGAAAAACTATTTTTAGTCTATAAAATTGGCAAAAAATAAAATATGAACTTCTTAGGGCTGTTGATATACAATGAGGCAACATTCTCACACATTGGTAGAAGAAAATATTGGAATGTTTCTGAAAGGGGCATGTTATCATTTTTAAGAAGTTCATACACTTTGACCTAATAATTCTACTTCCTAACGCTCTACTCCCAATACAGTTAAGGAAAGTACAAACAGGAATTATTTAATCAAACCTCAAACAACAAACAATTATTAAATGAAGTATCGGATATCCAAAGAATAAATAATTACACAAAAATTAAAAATATTTTAGAAGATATTTAATAATTCCCCAAAATTTATGTAGTAAAAAAAGTAGAATATAAATTTTTTTTTTTTTTTTTTTTTTTTTAAAGATGACCGGTAAGGGGATCTTAACCCTTGACTTTGATGTTGTCAGCACCACGCCCAGCCAGTGAGCGAACCGGCCATCCCTATATGGGATCCAAACCCAGGGCCTTGGTGTTATCAGCACTGCACTCTCCCGAGTGAGCCACCGGGCCGGCCCAGAATATAAAATTTTTGAATACATTATAATCCCAATAAAAACACATACACGTATGCTTTCTTGAAAGACCAGATGGTACCACACCAAAATATTAGCAATGGTTATTTTAGGTGGTAGAAATACAATTCTTATATTAACCTTCATAATTTTTGGTATTATCAAAATTTTCTACAGTGAAACTGCATTACTTTTATCATCCTGTGTGTGTGTGTGTGTGTGTGTGTGTGTGTGTGTGTGTAATTCAAAAAGTCCATGGAAAGATTTGTATTATAATTTAATTCTATTTTTCCATAAACTGTTTGAAGTATATATATGTGATTCTTATCAACGAGGACAAGAAAACAGACTGAGATCCTAGAAGCTGTGGTCAAGGAAAAAAGGACAGGATGATGCAAAGCTTGGGTGAGAAGGGGGAGTTATGAGATTCAGCAAGAAAAAGGCCCTGTTGGGTCCCCAATGTTGTCAGAGAACTGCTTTTTCATTTGGTAGAACTAGGTGACAAAGTTAGAGAAATCACTCATATTCACAAATCTAGGAAATTTTTTTTGACATAAATTTCATTTATTATTACAACTGCAACTGCTTTATCCTTTCCAACTATTAGTACTGTGGTTGAAATTTACAAATCAAATAAATTCAATGAATTTTAGAAATATCTTCTATGTGTATAATTTGTCTTAGGGACTTGTAGGAGTACAAAGACAAGTGAGATGTCCTCAAAAATCTGTAATCTAGAAAGTAGAATAAGAAAAGTAACCTAAAAGACACAGTCTTTGCCTAAATATATAATAAGATACCTATCTTCACACAAATTAATACAAAAACTACTGAAAAAAAATAAAATGGCTTTACAATTCTCAAATACGACAGATGGTGAGAACAGAGATTTAGAAATTGATTGCATATGTGTAAGACTTATGTCAAGGTGTTAGGATATGAAAATAACAGCAGCAATTCCTACCTTATTTGAGAATTATGAGAACAGCTAATATATAAGTACAGCCAAAAAGAAATTATGAAGGAGAATATAAGAATTATCTGTACTCCCATCACCTAAAAGCAACCATTGTTAATATTTTGGTGTAGTACTTTCTAGCATTTCAAATGCACATGTGTGTTTGCATGTGTGGTTTAAATGAGATCATAACATATTCACAATTCTATATTCCGCTTCTTTTTAACTTAATACACTTTCGATATAGTAAATATCTTCTAAAACTTAGAACTTGGTGAGAAATGGTCTTGGGTTTAAATCTCACATCTACTACTTACTGGTTGACTTTGGATAATTTACTTCATTTCTCTAACTTCTTCCTCATATATAATATGAGGATAATAAAACCTAAGGTCTTAGGATCATTGTGAGAATTAAACAGAAAAGTATATATTAAATTAGTTACAATTTGCCTGGCACACAGTAAATATTTAATAAACACTATATTTTATTTAAATGTATGATATGGTTACAGTTATATTTTGAAGGACTAATGACAAAAGATAAAAAACAGTCATTATATTTGCAACTTCCTGTGCAATATTTTTTTTTTCCTTTTTGTCTTTTTTCGTGTCCGGCAACAGATCGCAACCCTCAGTGTTGCGCCCGTACCGGACCAGGACCAGCAACGGGATCGCAACCGTCCGTGTCGCACCCGCACCTCGCTCAGCCAGTGAGCGGGAACCGGTCTGTATGTGGGATCCGAACCCTCGGCGGGAGCGCCACCGCGCTCCCAAGTGGCGCACTGCTACAGTGCGCCACCGGGCCGGCCCCCTGTGCAATATTTAATCATCATCACCACTTTTCCATTCTCTCCTTTTCATTGTTGTTGGTCTCATCAGTACATTTCTCAAACTAAGGGCAAACCAGTTTTGCATTCTGATTC